CACCGCAATGCACGATACCGCGCGCGCACGACTTAGCGTGTTTCGATGCGGCCACAGGGCAGCAGGGAGGTAGCCAGCGAGGTGAACAGAGCCTCGCAAGGCGTCCGCAAGCGACACGGGCGGTGCGACAAGGTACGCGGCCACTTTGCGCACGAGCACCTCGGGCAAGTGCAAACCAAGATACGTCGATGCCGCCGTGTCGATGGGGTGCATAAGCATGTACGTTTCGATGTCAAACATTCGGCGGACTTGCTGGGGCAAGTCGCGGTGGGTCTTGCGGAGGGTCGACAAGAGACGTGGCCACCACAGCGGGATGCAGACACGCGCGATCGAGTGCGCGACGGCGTCGCCGGTGGTCGCGAGGTGCACCAAATGAGCAGCGAATTCGATCGTGATGTCGGCCGTTTGAAGTCGATGCTGGAACCGGGCGCCGCCAAAGCGTCGAATCACAGCAACAATCCACTTTGCCATGTCCTTATCGTCGGCCCACTGGTCGTGTACGTCCAGAAACGCCTCGATGAGCTCCACGTCACCGTGGTCGTAGAGCAAGGACGCCATCGCGGACGTGATTTGGTCGGGGCCTGAACCGTAGTTGTCCTCGGGGTAAAAGTACCGGAAGGCAGCTGTCAAGGCGCCGTCGAGCGATCCGAAGCCGAGGTCGTCGGTCATATCACCGTCCAAGTTGGCACGCAAGACCGACATCAAGCGGTTGTAGCCCAGAATGTGCACGCGCGCCGCTTTGGGCCACACGAGGAGAAAGCAGCCATGCACTTTTATCCCGTCGCTCTCAATGGGCCACCCGAAGTAAACCTTGCCACGCGCCTCGGAGACGTCTGCAAACTCCTTGATTGGCGACTGGTGGTAGATCTCTTGGACGAGCGCCGGTGTCGCACACAATGGGTGGAACGTCTCGGGCAGCGGCGGAATGGGCTCGGTGACTTTCTTGTCGTCTTGGGTCGGCCGTTCAAATACAATGTCAAAGACGTCCGTGGCCACCAGCCGATCGACGATCGCCTTGTCACGACCCGTGAGCGAATCAAACGTCGGCGTCAAGCTGGGTGACTCAAGGTAGATCGCGACGCCAATGTAGCCCTCCGGATCGTATTGGCAAGCAACGTCTTGGAGGACTTGGACCGACGGCAGCGGCCGCGGCGCGTACCAAGCCTTGGGCACTTTGCTGTGCCACCCCGATTCTTCCAAGTCGTACGCAGCGTGATACACAGCACAAGCCCGGTGTCCGGACGTGATGGGCGCCACCGTCACGTCACACGTGCTGTAGAACGAGAGAAAGCACCCGTCGACGGCCTCGAACGTCGTCGTCCAGTCGTTGTCCGAGATGGTGACGGCGCCACCGACGCACTTGGACGGGAAGAAGTAGACAACCGTGGCAAACGTGTAGCGTGGTGGTCGGGTTGCTGGCTTCAACTTGGATGCGTCGCCGGTCAAGTCGATCGCAAAATGCGCCAGCCTCGTGTTGTACGCCATCGAGAAGTAATTGGAATCGTCTGGCGCGGGATCCAGCTCGCCGAGCAGGTCACATTCGCAAAAAAAATCACCACGGAGAAAGTGAGAACTGTTGTGGATCGTGACGTCCTTGGCCGGCACACGCTCGGGGTACGTGGTCATGAGCGCTGCCACGGTCTCGGTCGAGAGAGGCCACGAAGCAACGGTGAGGTCATCGAGCTTGACGGTGGGGCTGCACCTGGCGTTAGGCTTGCTTAGGCAGCAGTGGACCCTCGCAATATCACGCGCAATCGTCTGCAGACTGGTCTTGTCCTCGTCGTCACTCATCCGAAGCAAATGTAGTTGTGCGCCTTTCAACGCTCTTGGAATTTGCAAGATGATGCAATCACATGGTATCGTCTCTGCCAATGTGTAATGCGACGTTGCAAACCGCCTCTCTGTACATGTGTTGGACTATCACTCATGCGCATCATGAAAGCCCATGAGTGATGGATGATGGGCTTTTCCAGATGTGATAATATGGGCGATTCGTAGACGGTGCTGCGGCATGGGTCGTCGCTTGCGTCAACAACTTATGTGTATCAAAGAGAGGCACGACCACTGTACTTCAACGCCCTAGTGCCTACGAGCTTGAGCGTCGTCGTCATTGACGTACTGGCGTTGCACTCGATGGAAGTGGGAGCAGCCTCCAGCGGCGGTGCTCTGCTCCAGAGACTGGTGCACCACCAGGTTGTGCGTGTCAGAGGCGTGCATGTGGCGGCATCATGCACGTGCATTGTAGAGAGGTAGCGCGCCCATGACTCGCTCGAGCGTGCGCAGGTGCAGCGCGGGCCAGACGTCGCCCAGCGGCAGAAAGCCTGCGAGCTCGAGGACGGTGGCCAGCGTCGAGGCTGTGCGCCGCCAGCGGGTGCAAGAAGCCGATCATGTCTCGACGCGTCCATGAAGCGCAGGACGAGGCGCGCGCAGTCAGGCTGCAGCGACGCGATCGGGCGCCCATCGGCGGCGTGACCAAGTGGCAAGCCGGCTGCCGTTAATTGAATTCCATGATGAGCGACAACACGTGGTTATTTGTGGCAAAATACGGCGCATGCCACCTTTAATAAAACTGTCAATTCCTCTGGCTGTAGCCCTCGTACGACGACTAGGCATGACGCGATGCACTCCCCGGAGCGTCTTCTATCGCCTGCCAAAGCCTCGGCGATTTCATTTTCTGACACGATATCGGCGGTCATCAGCGTCGTGGCAGCGCGGTGGCATCTCCGCCCTCTCGGATTGGCTAAAAATGGAGAAATTATTTTGCGAAAACCTTTTTTATGACTTGGAAATTGTATCACCCACGGGTGGCATTGGGGTGGCACATGCCGTTCATGAGGTGCCAAATCAGCGCCTATATTCGGCACATGCTGGCAAGGCGACGCTGCACCTCGAACCCACCTCGAACCCACGAGGCTGCATGCAAACAATACTTGCATGCGGGGTCACGACGCAGTTGTATACCCTGTCGTCAAAATCTGCGGAGTGCAGTGAGTGTCAATCAAGTGTACCCAAGCCGCTGCACTTTTTACAGTGCTCTGTACATGGGTCAATATTTACCCATGTCTGTATCGAGTTGGTCGCTGTCGTCTTCGATCAATCTGTGCATACAGGACGGTGTGTTTCTTGTGCTGGTCAATGAAGCCGTGTCTTTCTTGCGCGCCGTCGGGTGGATGCTGTGGCGCGCGATTCCATCGAAGTGCGTTCGACCGCAGTCGCAGTCGTCGAGGTCGTTCGCGGCGTGATACACAGCCGCGTCCCAGCCAACAACGTCATCCTCCGCGACTTCCACGATACCGCTGACTACACAACATCGGGCAACTCGGCATTGCGCAAGTTTGCGGTAACTGCAATCTCGAGTTCAAAATGACGCTGGCACATTTTGCAGTCGACGTGATTGGTGATGCTTCAACGTTGACACCGACAACGGAGCCACCGCCTGGTACCTTGGCAACGTTCGTTTACTTCTTCCCGTCCAACTGCGTCGGCAGCGCCGTCACGATCACGCACGCCACTGGACGACGACGTACGAGGCTCTCGACGGGGCTGTTGGTGTCGGGCGAGAGGAGCCACGAAGCCATCGTGATGCCGTCAACAGGTTGTAGAGACAGCTCTGTGGCATCGCAGCCTCACGCGTAAACGTACACTCATACTCTTGCAATTGTTCGCAAATAGAAATGTGCTGTCATCAACGATTGTCAAACCGGGTGTCAACGTCTCTGCCGAGGTGGACGTGACACCTAAACTATTGCAATAGCGACGAGCTGTTTGGGTTCCAACTGCGTGTACAGCTCTCTGCCTGAGCGATCGTCACTTGCAACTTTTGAGCCAAGAACCACCAAGGCGACTTCATCGAGCGCCAGATAAACGTGGCAGCTCCTGATAAACAGACTACACGTAAACAGAAGACCAACACGCAAGCACACAGACCGGCTCTGTGACATCTGGCAGTACGCTGTGACATGGTATAGCTCATGGCATCCTTAGTACTGGAACAAGTACACAGGATACTTGAGAAGGCAACTGCTGAGCATTGAGTAGCATCGTCCACTCGAAGATGACTCTTCCCAAACGGTATCACGCAAACTCGAAAAGTATAACAAAGGCCGACCACATTTCGTTATATTGCGGAGTGATACTACGTCAGCGGCGCACGCATCGCGGAAAGCATCGACTGAATCGACTGGGCATCTTGGCACGTCGTCTCGGGGCACTGCATGTCGTAGGGTGACAAGGGCGTCCTGCAGTCGGGGCATCGTCGTGCTGTCTTCATCGGCAAGCCTCGAGCCAGAAGCATAGCATACCAACGCTCGGCGTCCTCGAGCAAAGACACAATAGTCGCTGTTTGTCGGAAGTCTTGGGGCTGTCGGCGCGCGACGTCGAGGACCGACGCGCCGTCCTGACCAACAAGGTCGCACATGACACATCGATGGGTGGCGACGCACCTTGGTCCGCGCCAGCACCGTCGTCGCATCTGCATCGGCGATTGCGCTCACGACTTCAGCCAAACCAACGCGCACAGCGTAAAAAAGTGGCGTCTCGCCTCGCTACGCTCAGGGTGAGCCAAGGACGACGTCGTTCGACAGCGTACCACGTCCGTCGCGTGCACATCTGCGCCTGCCTCGATCAAGTACGCGACGACCTTGTGGTTAAACATGGTGCTCGTGGCAGCAAAGAGAGCTGAGCCCCCGCCTCTCTGTACGTAGTTGAGAAGAGGGTGTCGACCGACGCCATGAGCTCACCAGTCGTTTGTTCACCGTGGCACCTTTGTCCAGCACGGAGCGCACCAACTCGGGGCTTGCCGACAAGGTGGCCGCGCCGAGCACGCTTTCACCCGTCTACAGAACGACACTGCAATGGCGACGAGATGCGCGAGGCTTACGCGTGTCAGGACTGCGTTGGGGTCGAGCACGTCGTCGAGTAGCTGTGTTGCGACCTGAAGCTGACGTTGCAACCCTGCCTCTTTAAAGGCCTCCAACATCTACATCGATATGAAGCGCACGGTTTTGGTGAGTCATAAATCGGCAACCTCGGTCTGTCGTGCAGCCGCGTCCATGTGGGGCTGGAGCGCTGCCACGACATCGGCAGCCGACATTCGCATTGTCGGGTCCACGGCCAGGCAGCGGGCAACGATACTAGCGTACCAGTGCTCGCAGTCGTCCCGAAGTTGCCCGAGGCTGGTCGACGGCAAAGCGAGCGTATCGAGCTCCACAAGGAGAACGCCAAGCGCGTATACATCGGATTCCTGCGACGCTGACACGGACCCGTTGCAGATTTCGGGGGCCGCCCACGGCGTCAACGACTCGTGGGCCGGCACAAAGCCTGGCCAGAGGACGTGAATCGGGCCCGAGCACGGGGCTCCCAGTACGTCGTGGTTGGAGTTTGCTTCCATGTAGAGACTAAAACTCGAGAAGCAGCCGTGGTCGAGTCCCCCTTCGTGGAGGTCTGCGAGCGCATTGGCAGCCACATATGCAATTTGAAGCTTGGACGGCCATGCTTCAAGCTGCGACCCCGGTGCCAGCTTGCTCAGCTTGTAGCGGAGAATGTTGTCGTGCAACATGGGCACGGGATGCTCCATCAGCACAAAAGGCGAACTATAAGAAGCATATGAGAATGGCACGGAGAGCGGGGCGAGGTGTCAACAAGGAAGCGTCTTCATCACCCTCTTCCACCTATTCCATCACCGTTTCTACCGATCGATTCATATCGTAAGAGAACGTACATCGTTGCGCATTTGGAGCCCCTTGTACAGGAAACGAGCAATGTCACTCGCGCCAGCGTTGATCGCCACCGTCAGAGGCATTTCGTTGGCCTACCCGCTAGAGGTGAGCTCCAAGACGTGGTTGATGACGCGCGGAGCGAACCATGTTTGTGCAGTGAAACGAGATACGGGGCGATGACAGCAACGCCTCCAGCATCGCAAAGTCCTTTTGTTGCACTGCGTAATGTGCGACGGAATGGCCAGCCTAACGAAACACCCGTCGTGGTACAGTGCGATTAGAGTTGGCGTACGGCATCCTGCTCCAAGGGCGTGATGGGTTTGGCCAGGAGCTCCTTTAGCATCGGCAAGTTGCCAGCCTTGATCGCACCGACCAAAGCCTACAATGCAGGACGGGTTGGCCTGTCATTGCGTACAAGCGGGGGTGGTACCTTGAAGTGGCGGTACTTGGCGCTGTCATCGTCACGTGTGGCCTTGGCCGTGCGCTTCTCAGCAGCGTTGACAGAGCGTAGCCACGCAACGACGGCGGTTGGCACTGGTGTGCTAGCATGGCCGGGCGTTGCTTGCATCGCCTTCCGGAGACGGATGAGCAGCATCTTGACCACGTCGTTGATGGGCTTTTGCGGCATCTTGCAGCTTGGGCACGTCGTCTCGAGCAAGAACATGGCACAGCCACGTGAGGTGCACCTGCGCGTCCATTCGATCGGAAGCCCTCTGTGGTGCAGCGTCATGCAGCGTTGGAGGGCGCACTTGATCTTGTCCAGCATTGACATGTCGTGGCCGCAGTCGGGACACGCGTCGTCTAGCGTGTGCAAGCCACTGCATTGGTGACAGTTGCGCATGTCGGCCATCGCGACGCCCTAATGCGATGCGATGTCGGCGATAATATATGGCATCCGTAGGTACCATTCTGGCCACCTCTTCGTCAGAGTGGTCAACCATTGGGAACCCGTGCAGGCCCGACATGCACTACGAAGTGCTGAGCCATGGCAAGGTGACGAGGAACATGTGTACCTGCATCGCGAGAGGTTTGTTGGCACCAGCATCCGATAGCAGCTGGAGAAGGCTCTCGTCACACGACGTGAGCGCGTAGTATAGTGCAGTGTAGTTCTCCTGCCCAGGTGGAAGTCGAAATGGGTCCTCTGCAATGAAGTACGCACCTTGTCCAAGGCATCGACGTCCGCGCCAGCATCGAGTAGTAGTGCGACGAGCTTGGTGTGCCCCTTTCTCGCAGCCATGTGAAGCGCGGTGTCTCCATTCTACAGCAAAGTGATGACCAAATTCCATGCAACCATATTTCAACGTACATAGCGTTTGTCGACGACTGCGCCGTGGTCAAGGAGGAGGTCCGCAATGTCTTCGCTGCCGCGGTCCACGGCCAGGGCCAGGGGCGGCGAGTTACGCTGGTATCATAGTAGTTGGTCCAAGCACCACCAGAGTCAGCATACCTCGGCGGTAGAATTGGGGTCGAAACCATTATCGAGCTGCGCTTGCACCAAGGCAATGTCATTCACGGCGACGGCGCGTTGATATGCCTCAAAAGTCTAGTGGAATGCACAACTGACGACCGACATTGACGCCTTGATAGTACGTACACCAGCAGCAGCTGCCACACCGTCGGCAACTTGTTTTCCGAGAATGCCGACGATTAACTCGGCCGTTGGACGCTTGGAGGGTTCTTCGTGGAGACACTGCGTCGCAAGCTCACGCAGCCACGGTTCGCAGGACTCGGTCAGCGTCGGTCGACGACCTGCGAGGACCGCCTCCTTGATCTGATAGTCAGTCATCAAGTCGGTGGCGTCATAGTACGGTAGCTGGAGCGTGTCCAGCTCCGTCAAGAGCACGCCAAACGAGTAGACGTCGGCTTTGATCCCGTAGCGCTCACCGTCGACGCGTAACACTTCGGGGGCTGCCCAGCGCGCCGTGCCGCGGCCGTCCGTCATGTAGGTGGCGGCCACCTTGGCGATACCCAAGTCGCCGAGCTTGATGTAGTGGTCCAAGCTCAAGAGGACGTTGTCGCTCTTGATGTCGCGGTGAACGATGCCAAGCGCATGCAAGTCCTTCATCGCATTCGCCACGACCCACGCCACCTCGAGGTTGGTCAGCTGCAACTCGCTCACTTGCCGCCACCGCTTCTGGTCCAGATAACCCCGCAGCGTGCCCATGTCCATGTAGTCGAGTAGCAGCGCCGGCGTCATCGAAGCGCGGTCTGCCACAGCGAGTAGCGACACTAGGTACGGCGACGGACACCTACGACCATCTGTTAGATACTCAAAGACAGGGGGTGACGCGACTTGGTCATGGCGTCGGCTTCAGCACGTAGCATCGCAGCACCGTCTTTGGACCCCTTGGACTTCTTGGTGGCGACCTTGCGCCCTTGATACGTGCCCCGATACACAACCGCTTGGCCGCCTGCTCCGAGCTCCTCTGTCGACATTTCGTAGTCGTCACCCGTGATCTAATGCAATGGACGAGTCAGTTTCAGACCGAGATGCGACTCCAACCTCCTGGACAGGCTGGTGCAAATGACGAAAAAGCGTCTTCGCCATGTCGAGGTAGCCGCGCTGGATGGCGACGGCCATTGGAGATCGACCGCCCTATGCAGCCGCCGCATATGAGCACATGTGGTTGCGTTTTTGAACCCGATACCAGATCTGGCTCCTCCAAATGAATGCCCGGCGTCGCAATCAGGCAGGCAAGCGTCTCCGTGTCGTGAGCCCGCACGGCCAAATGCGCCAAGGAGTCGCCCATCTATACGATTGTCAAGATAATTACTAAGGTAAAGGGAGACGGTGGGTACCTTGTTGAACGCGTTGCTGTTGAACGGGCGACTCAGCAGCGAGCGCACCTTGGCCAAGTCGTTGGCGTTGGCGGCGTCCTGGAGCGCGTATTTCTACGATACACAACGCAACTTCGTGCACCGAGCCAAAGGTATTGGGAAAGCTACGTGGTCCGAGGCGTCGGTCATCAGACCCATCATCGTCGTGTTGCGGAGGCGTCCCGCATATTCGATCGGCCGTTGTCCTTGCTACGCAGCCCAAACGATCATTATGCTAGACAGGATGTACTTGTCGACCTTGTTGGTCGCGTTGATGTCAAAGCCAGCGTTCAAGAGCACGCGCACGACGTCGGTATTGTCCATCGCTACGGCCACGTGCAACAGCGTCTCACCATTCTACGACAATATTGTCCATCATATGCGGTCTACACGTGGCATACCATGTCGTCTTGGTCGAATTGAATGCCAGGCGCGGCCAAAAGCGCGGCCACAACGTCGGCGTGGCCTTCGTGCACGGCCACGTACAGAGCCGACACCGATTCCTACGCCATGCTCAGCACCCAATCGGCCTTGAAAACAGAGGAAAGGTACATAAACCGCATTCACATTCGGCGAACTCGCGAGCAGCTTGCGCACCACGTCCGCGTGGCCTCTGGACGACGCCGTAAAGAGGGGGCTCTCGCCAACCTACGCCACACAACACGTCTCGTCCTTTGGTGCGAGAACCATATTTGCATGATGTACCGCATCGGCATTGACGTTGGCGCCGGCGTTTAAGAGCAGGTCGACGACGGCCGCGTGGTCATGCATGGCCGCCATGTAGAGCGCCGTCGCACCGGCAAAGTTGTCGCCGTCGTTGCCGTAGGGCTGGTCGACGTTGCGCATACGCGCAAGCAACGCCGTGACGATTTGGATGTCCCGTCCGTTGCCCGCCGCATCATGCAGCGGCAAGGCCTTCTCCTAAACACGATATTCCGATGCGATATTGCAACCTAGCAAATGGCGTGCATACATCGTTGAGTAAGTTGGGGTCAGCGCCGCTTGCCAACAATTGCTCGACCAAAGCCACGTCGTCGAGTCGCGTGGCTGCATGCAGTGGCGTGTCGCCGCGCTAGCACCTGCGGGTTAGGGTACGTTCATATGGCATGCGTTCGTACGCCGTTGCGGGCGTTGACGTTGGCGCCGGCAGCGACAAGAGTCTCGAGCAGAGCATGGCGCTTCTGGGCCACGACGACGTGCAAGACCGAGGTCCCGTCCTAGAGATAGATGACGGTGTCTTCTCTCTCTGTGGTACCACAACGCACCGCGGTATCGAGGTTGGTATTGGCGCCACGGGCGAGGAGGAGGTCAACCACACGCGTGTGGCCTCGGCTCACCGCCAACACAAGTGCCGTCTCGCCAATCTAATCGGGTGGCTTTAGCAGAGTCGGTAGAGAAGCAAGTGGACCTCAGTCGCACAGTCGGGATGCACGCCATCGTCGAGTTGGGCGATGACGCCATCGACGTCACCGCTGTAAACAGCGCGGAGGAATGCTTGCTCCGGCTATGCAGACATTATATCTATGCAACGAGAACATATTGTCGTGTAGAAGTACCGTCATGTCCGAGATAGCAGCACCCACGGCCTAGCACAGATGTAGTTGCAGCCGCAAAGTCCATATTGAAAGCGTACCATGGACGTTCGAATCGCCGGTCGTGGGCCCGCCGACGCCGACGCATTCGACTCAATAGAGAGGACGTTCGTCGGTGTTGAGGACACCTGTTCGCTCTACATGAAACCTCAGTTGGTAGAACACAGCAAAAAGCCATCTACCGCAAGATCGGCGACAAAGGCAGGACGTGACACGATGAGCTCCGGTCGCCTGCACCATCATGCGTCACCTGCCATCAATCACTGCAACGTACTGTTGCATTTCCGGACGCAGAAGCTGGACAACGTCGGCCGCCGTCGGGCGCGTCTCGGGTGCCGTCGCCTTGCATCGCGCGTGCAGCGCCGCATACCACGGAGTGTTGTCGGCGTCGGCGTAGCTTGCCATGTCGGGGAAGAGCGTCTCGAGCAAGACGCCAAACGAGAACATGTCGGCGGGAGTGCCGTAGTTGCTGCCCGATATGAGCACCTCGGGAGCCATCCACTTGTTGGTGCCAGCCCCCGTCGTCATGAGCGACGTCTTCTTCTTGGCAATCCCCACGTCAGCCACCTTGATGTACTGGGTCGAGGAGAGGAGGATGTTGTCGGTCTTGATGTCGCGATGGACGACGTCCTTGGCGTGGAGGTCGTTCAAAGCGTTGGCAACGACCCACGCCACCTCGAGCGACGAGTAGCCCACCGCTACGGCTTGGTCGTTGGCCACCTTGTCGAGGTACGACGAAAGATCGCCGCCGTCCATGTACTCGAGCACGAGCTGCGGGTTCGTCGAGTCAATGTCGACAGTCGCCAGCAGCCGGAGCAAGTACGGCGATGCATTTCTATGCAGTGACGTCCTGAGCGTACACGAATGAACAGAGGCGGAGGTACGCTTCCATGGCGGCCATCTCGCAGCGCAAGGTCGCTGCATCGCCTTGTACATCTTTCAAGGTCTTGACAGCGACGTCGTGGTTGTGAAGCGACCCTTTGTACACAACGCCGTAGCCACCGCGCCCCAGCTCGCCCAACCGCATCACATCGCTTGCCAAAATCTACGTCACGTGAGCTGGTTAAGAATGTCTTCCGATGAAACCATTGTACCTCGACGGCTGGCGTTGCTTGCGCGTGATGCAGCTGCGTCACAAGAGTTTTGTTGGCCATCTTGATCGCAATCATGATGGGCGTCTCCCCAAACTAGTACCACAGTGGTTAGGGTAGCACTTCGTACACGCAGAGAGAGACCTTGTTGAGAGGCGTCGTCTGAACACCCTCTTGCGCCAGGAGAATGTCCAGAAGCGCGTCGTGCTGGCCCAAGACCGCAAGGTGCACGAGCGTATT